ATAAATTTGACAATGAAATGAAAATAAATGGAACGAAATGAAAAAGTCCTTGAAAGATAACAAATTATCACAGTTCACGGAAGATGAAATAGGTAGCCTCAATAGTCCTACATCAATATAAAAAATTGAATTAATAGGCAAAAAGCTCCACATCTGGAAAACTCGAGGTGCAAATGACTTCACGGGTGAATTCAGTGTTTAAGAAAAACATTACATCAGGGGCGCCTGGGTGGCTCAGTTGGTTAAGCGACTGCCTTCGGCTCAGGTCATGATCCTGGAGTCCTGGGATCGAGTCCCACATCGGGCTCCCAGCTCAGCGGCGAGCCTGCTTCTCTCTCTGACCTTCTCCCCTCTCATGCTGTTTCTCTCTCTCTCGCTCTCTAATACATAAATAAATAAAATCTTTAAAAAAAAAAAAAAAGAAAAACATTACATCAGTTCTGTGCAAACTTACAAAACAAACACTTCCCAAGTCATTTATTAGGTTAGCACTGCCCCCAAATAACCAGACGAGGTTATTAGCAGAAAAGAAAACCACAGACTAATTTCCCGCATGAACACAGGTACAAAAAACATCCACAAAATAGCAAATCCAGTCCAGCAATATATAAAAGGCTACATCATGGCCAAATAGAGTTTATCCAAGGAATGCAAGTTTGCTTCAACATTTGAACATCAAACAATGTAATTTACCATTTCGACAGACTAAAAAGAGCAAAACAACATAATCATCTCAGTAAATACAGAAAAAGCATTTGAGATTATTCAACACTCATTATAAAACTCAACATCCATTATAAAAATTCTGAGCAAACTGGAAATAGACAGGAACGTCTTCACTTGATAACAGACATCTGCAAAAGCACCTTCCACTAATCCACCAAACAGTGAGGAGTGAACGCCTTCTCCCTCAGATCGGGGGAAAGGTGAGGTGCCCACCCTCATGACTTCTGCTGCGCATCATCCTGGCGGTTCTCTAGAGTGTAATTAGGCCATAAAAAGAAGCAGTAACGCATCCAGTTAGGAAAGGAAGAAAAAGAACTCTTTAGTCAGAGAAAATATGATTACATAGAAAATTCTAAAGAATCTACAAAAAAAAAAAATTGCTAGAACAATTAATGAAATTTAGCAGGGTTGCAGAGCATAAGGTTCGGGGTACCAAGATTAATTCTATTTCTGTCTGTTAGCAATAAACAATTGAATATTGAGACATGTATATTTTATATATACAAAACATCAGTAATACCAAATACTTTGGGATACATTTAACAAAATATGGGCAAGAGCTATACCCTGGAAACTACAAAGCATCGCTGAGAGAAATTAAAGATTTCTTTTAAAATCTCTCCTATCAAGGAGCTTACATTCTAGTGAAGGGGACGAGCACTAGATAAATAAGTTAAATGTACGTTATTGTAATATGATTAAGCCTAGGAAAATAAGGGAAGAGGGTAAGGAAACGTCAGAGGCAGACTACTGAAATTTCTAGATGTCATGGCCACTGAAGAGAGGCAAGGCCTCACTTAGGAGGCTTTTGAGAAGAAAGCTGACAGGTGACCATCTAGAGCATTTCAGGCAGGAGTAAGACCATCACAAGGACCACGAGGCCAGCATGTACCCGGCTTGCTCTGGGAAGATGTGGACAGCAGTGTGGCTGGGGTGAGGGGGCCAAGGGGCCATACTTGGAGATGGGGACCGAGAGTTGATGGGGACTAGGCAGCAGGCCCACTGCTCAGTGGGAACTTTGACATTCAGTCCACGTGTGATGGAAGCTGAGGGGGTGTGAGTGGGGGGGCGGGGTGATGATTCCTGTACAGAGAGGGCTCTGACCCAAGGGGCTAGAATAGACTGCAGGGGGCAAAGTCAGAGCCTGGGAGACAGCTGGAAGCTCACTGCAATGGCCCAAGAAGAAGGACCCATGCTTAGACCAGGAGGAGCAGGGGGGTGGGGACTGTTCTGAATAGACTTTGATGGAAGACCCCTAGCAGTTTCTGCTTGGCTAGATGTCAGGTGTGTGAGACAGAAGAGAAAGGAGAACCAGGAGCTTGACCAGAGCAGCTGAGTGGGTGGGGTTGCCGTGTTGGAGATGAGGAGGACTGTCCCTGGGGCTGGAGGGAGAGGGGATAGGATGTGAGAGGCTCTGTTTTATCCCTGTTACAATGAGACACCCACCTGACATTCAGGTGGAGATGCCAGGGAGGCAGTGGAGCCTAAGCTCAGGGTCAGGTCCAGCCGGATTCGGGGGGGTGGGGGGTGAAGTCTGGGACACATGGCAGTTGAAATCCTCAGCAGGTACCTGGTTTTCACAGCCACGAGGCTGGATGGTATCACCTACGATGTGATTTCTGATCGAAAAGCAAAGAAGCCCAATTATTAATGTTGGTTAGTCCAGCATTCAGAGGTCAGGGAAAAGAAGGGAGCCAGCAGAGGTGCAGGAAGAGAAACCTCAGGGAAGAGTGAGGAGAAAACCAGGTGTGCATCCTGGAAGCCAAGTGGACACAGGGTTTTGAGGAGGAGAAGGTGATCGGTGTGCCAAGAGGAGAGCTGAGAAATCATCACGGCATGAAGCACGTTAGGGTCTGGTAACGTTGAGAAGAGGAGTTTGGGTTGAGTGGGGATGAAAACATGGTAGGAGTGAACTTCAGAAAAACATAGGAGAAAACTCAGAGCATAGCAAGTACCTTCAAGGAGATATGGATGCAGTTTTCTGAAGATAAAATCCACATTGCCCAAAACATACCCAGTGAGGATCGAATGTGCCCGTCACGGGGAAGTATTAACTGAGCTCTCAGTGAGGCACCAGAGTCCATGCATCAGAAGGTCAAAGCCCAGAATACAGATCAGTGCTTCCTGCTGCCCGAGAAGGGAGAAAGTATGCATTCATTCATCAGTAGTGAGAGTGTTAATTCCAAAAACATTTTTTAACTTTTTTTTAAAGATTTTATTTGTTTATTTGACAGAGAGAGACACAGCGAGAGAGAGAGCACAAGCAGGGGGAGTGGGAGAGGGAGAAGCAGGTTTCCTGCTGAGCAGGGAGCCCGATGCGGGGCTCGATCCCAGGACCCCGGGGTCATGACCTGAGCCAAAGGCAGATGCTTAACTAGTGAGCCACCCAGGCGCCCATCCAAAAACATTTTTGAAAAGCAATTTGACAATATCTATTTGCATTTTTTTTAAAAACTTGAAAATCACCAATCCTACCCTTAGATATCTGTTCCATAAAAAATTGTTAAAAGCTCACACCCACCAGTAAAGAAACATGGAGGAGGATTTTATTACAACGTTGCATATCATGACCACCCTGGACACACAGGACAGCCCATCCTCGTCACTCAACAGCTTCTGTGTTTGCGGGCTCGCCAGTGTGCTAAAATGTGTTTGTGGCATCCAGACGAACGTTCCCAGGGCTTTTGCAGTCATTCCCAGGCGTGTGTATAGTGGCAAAAACATTGGAGTTCCCGAGCTCACACTGTGAACAAGTGTTTTTTAGTGGGTGTGGCCTAGGGAGTGCCATGTTTTCCACGTTTTTGTGGTTTTTTCTTGGAGATCATGTTGTTTGGAATGGTCCCCGAGGATAGTGCCGAAGTGCCGGGTAATGATCCGAAACGCAAGAAGGCTGTGATGTGTCTTACGGAGGAAACCCGCGTTAGGTGAGCTGCGTCCAGGCACGAGTTACACTGCTGTCCCTTTGAGTTCCGTGTGAATGCATCAGCAGCACGTATTCAATAAGATGCCTTTAAACAGAAGCACGCGTAGGACAGGGTTATGTGTTGACTGGTTGACAAGAGGATTGTGACCAGAGCCTCGCTGAAACCTAGCCCTGCATTTCCCCTAGGAAATGCTTCAGTATTCTCTAACTCGGGGTTTGTGGACACTTCCCAGAACGTAACTCCTATGAATACCAAGAATCTTCTGGAACTACCCTTTAGTAAGGACTGAGTGTGTAAATCAAGGTATATCCACACCACAGAATACTATGCAAGCTCTAAAGATCAGCAATCCAGGCTAAACCGATTGTTGCAGGGAAAACCCAAGTGAGAGATGGGTGAGCTGCAATGTCACTTTTCGCTGTGGTTACACATCCGTACGTTTGCATGTGGCCATAGGATTGTCAGTAGGGTGGGCCGCACCAGGCTGATGGAGAGGGCTCTTCCAAGTGGGTGTTGGGGGTCTGCCCATCAGGGTGAGCGCAGCCAAGGAGGTGGGGGAAATTAAAGGGAGACAGGATTTTTGATGATGTCGTTTATGTAAAAATGCCTGTGTCCCATGAAGACATTTGAAGGAAGATGCACAGTTAGTTGTCTGCACACTGACCAAATTGTGGGTCAGTGTCTATGATGGCTTAAAAGCGAGGTAGAAAATAACGTGTAGAATGTGATTCTCTTTTAGGAACCAGTCTGCTTAATGTAAGCTTTTAAGCATACAAATGAGCAAGTGAACCCGTGTTTAAAGATACAGAGAGGGGGCGCCTGGGTGGCTCAGTCGTTAAGGGTCTGCCTTCGGCTCAGGTCGTGATCCCAGGGTCCTGGGATCGAGCCCCACATCGGGCTCCCTGCTCAGAGGGAAGTCCACTTCTCCCTCTCCCACTCCCCCTGCTTGTGTTCCCTCTCTCGCTGTGTCTCTCTCTGTCAAATAAATAAATAAAATCTTTAAAAATAAAATAAAAAATAAAGATACAGAGAGGATGGGAGTCTTGTGGGGAAGGGATTACTGATTTTCATCTTTACTTCCATTGATTCGTTTCCATAGATACCATAAGTATTGCTTTGCTGCAACTTGAAAAAAAAAAAAACGAATAAAACGTGAAAAAGTATCAACTACCTGAATATTATTCGCAAAGAAAGGATATTGCCATCTTTAATATGGTTTAGCGAGTTCACTGCATACAAATTTTATTAGCAGGTTTTGAAAACGGCACCAGCAAGCACAGATTCCCTACAAGATTCTGAGCTGTGTTATTTAACGCTGTAAAATCCTTTGTTTTGTTTTTTTTCTTTTAGGAATCATTAAGAGCCATCCGATATGAAATATCTCCAGATAAGGAGTACGCTCTGTTTTCATACAATGTGGAGCCAGTGAGTACCGCTCTTTTCTATTTTAAAAAAAAAGTTTCTCTCTTTTGAGACCTTATTGAGTATTTTCCCTTGATCCTTCATTCTTAGTGATCTTGGAATCCTGAAAACAGTGGGTGAGTCCTGAATTAGTCTCTTTTTATGCCACACTGCCACCTAGGAGAGAAGACAGGTATAAAAATCCCTTTGGCAGGGGAAAAAAAAAAATCAGTCCTTTTAGGGGTAAATTCATAGGATTTTCCTGAGGGAGAGGGTGAGAAGTTGTCTTTTTATAAAGATTTATCTTACCCTTTTGTGCTGTCATTTTTCTTCCCATTTTCTCAGTCATACCATAAATTTTATCCTGAGAACAAAAAGCAACGGCCAGGTTCTCCCTAAACTAGAATAAAATGTTAATTATCTCCTAGCCATTGTAGTATTCTAGAGAAGACTTGAAATATCACTTTCATTATATAAATCCCTGTTTTTAGCACTTCATCTGAGTCTCCCATAAAACTGCACCAGGATTTTCCATAAAATCTCACCCTGGGCTTTAGCAGCAGCCTAAAACTAGCTCTTTTTTTTTTTTCTTTTTGTCTCTTAACAGCCTCATATTTTAAAATTCATCTCGGCTCTTTAATTTTAAATGAGCTAGAAGGTGAAATTTATTTGTGTAAGTGTAGCAGATGTTCAGCTTAAAGAGATTAGCAACTTTAGAAATGTGCATTTGTGGAACTTTATTCTCTGGCAAGTGAAAGATAGAATTCCTCTGCCTTTCCAGTTCTTCTGAGACCATTTTGTCCAGAGTTTTGTGACGCTTCTGTGAGCTCTAAGCGTACCTGCACTGTCATTCCAGCCTGGATGGCTTCCTGGTGGGTTGAGAGGCTCTTGCCCCGGCAAGGGGAGGACAGGCTTGTGGCGTTCATCCCACGGGAGCAGCTGAAAGATTGGTGTACATGGAGATCCAAGTCCAATCCTAGGATTTTTAGCATTTCTTGTAAGAGTTATTTGATGACTGGATTATTTATTGGAGATTTCCATTTTTTTCCCTCGAAATGTAGATCTTTAAAAAAAAAGCACCCTAACTTCACTTTTCCATTTTCTGATTTTTTTAATGTCCATTACATAAAAGTTTTCATTTTTCCCACCCACATTCTGTGGAACAGCTGGTCATCTTTATCTACTGGATTGGGGATGGCTAGTGGAGTGGGCATGGTAAAAGGCAACTTTTAGCCTTGGGATGCTACATGTCCTACGCCCACCCCTGCACTCACCTCTTTAAGCTTCAAGTGCATGGATATATGATATACATGGATCACAGAGTACTTCGGTCCTTTCACGGAAACTACCAAAAATGTAATCTCTACACTTGAATAAGAGAAAAAAACTCAGTAGATACTTGAAGGACTTTCATAGGGATGGGGTAATGGCTTTGTCCTGGGTTTCTCCGGGAAACACAGCCAACACCCAAGTGAGAAAAGCATAGAAAGACAGATTTCAGATCATCTTGCTCTAGAGCATCTTTTAACAATAGGAGCACCCCTACAATGGGAGATTCCTGCTTCTGGAAGCCTTCAGAACAAAGTCTTGTATTTGTTCTCCCAAATCTTGCAGAAGAGATTCTCCCATCTGCTCAATGGGAGCATGTGGGTTCATCAATGATTCAGTGGTTCTGTACGTGGTAGACTTCCCCACCACTTTTCCTTGGTCTTTCCCAATGCTCCTTCTGCAAGAGTGCCCTGGGCCCCCATTCCAAGGGATGGCTGTTTTGCTAAATGTGAGTCTTTGCCATATAGAACACGGGTGATAAACAGGCACCTTGAAAGAACCCTTTCTCACCACGCAGCATCCGTTTGCCTTTGGAGTAGGATTGTGTTGTTTCCTCAACTGAGGAAAAATGTAAGACATTTAGAGTGGATTTAGTGAACAACAAAAATAATTTGAGTGTTGAAAATGTGTGTGCTACATAAAAAAAATCTGTGGAAATGGATACTTTAAACTTGACTCAGAGGAGCAACCCTCCCTGGTTTCAAGTAGTGAGCAGGCCCATTGTAGGACTACGCAAGGGTTCTGCTCTGCGGGAAACGTTAGTCCTCTAATGGGGTCTCCACCAACGACACTTGGAGTTAGGAGGTATTAGGAATAACTGCCTAACTGGATAAACTGAGTTGCAGATACTTTCAGAAAAGTGGGTGGGTTGCAAGGGAAGGGTCTAGGTCTCTAATACTGGAGAAAGTGCAACGAACTGAGACTCCCTACTTTGTTTTTAGTGTCAATATAATTATCCCTGAATATTCTAAAAAAAAAAAAAAAGTTTCCATATTCAAATACATGTAAGAACTTTAAATAAAATTAAATAAGTTTCTTTAGAGCAGGATGTTTTGAAACTTTTTTATATTCTCGTGAGGGTTATATAGTATTTCCCAAATGGGTACTACAATATGTGATTCCTATCTAATGTTAAGGAAACTAGACTTCTGTCTTTGGATCCATGTTTATCACATTCCTATTTGTGTGCTTCAGAGGCAGCCAGGATACCTCCTTTCTAGGAACTAACTCAACTTTTCATTGAAAAGGCGATCATAAAAAAGTATTTTTGTATGAACCAACTGTCCAATTACAAGGCATCTCGCATGTAATAGAATAAATATTTCATTTGGAATAAAATGTCAGTATATTGGGTTACAGCTTCACCCCAAAAATCCAAATATTGCACATTCCCTTCCAACCACCACTTTTCCCTGCTGCCTGCCCACAGTGGACTGCAAGTCAGATGGCCCCAGACTCAAGTTCAGTCCACTGCCTCTTTTGAGCCCAGCCTCTCACCTTGAAAAGGGGTCAGGGACGCCTGGGCGGCTGAGTCAGTTAAGCGTCTGCCTTCAGCTCAGGTCATGATCCCAAGGCCCTGGGATGGAGTCCTGCATCGGGCTCCCTGCTCAGCGGGGAGTCTGCTTCTCCCTCTGCCTGCCGCTCCCCCTGCTTGTGTGCTCTCTCTTGCTCTCTCTCTCTGACAAACAAACAAACAAAAACAAAGGGTCAGTGGGTATCCAGCTGTGCTGCCTGGGGGACCGACTGTGACAGCACGTGGGAAGCACTTTCCTGGCAAACTACAGACGCCCCGACAACAGTGTCCCTCTCCAGGGCTTGGACACAGGGCTCTTTCCTCAGGAAGATTCGAGCTTCTTCCATGGTGATGACTCCAGTTACTCTTTTATTTAAAAAACAAAACTGGGCAGTAATGTGGGCAAAAGAGATATACTACTTACATCACAGACCCTGCACCATAGTTGTGGAAGCATGCAAACCAGGCCACATGGCACTGCCAAGAGGAGTTTCATGAGCATCAAACGAAAGGATTTGGCCCATTTAGGTGGACCCGGAAAGGCTTCCAGGAGGCATCGAAACTTCAGCTGAACTCTGATGGAGTCCTTGTGGCCTGAGGATGTGTGGTGAATAAGAGGAACAGAGAAACCCAGTGGGGCCAGAGAGAAGACGGGGTTTACCCATCAGGTTTCGGGCTACAAGGAAGGTGGCAGAATCTTGAGCTGTTCACGGATTTGCTTTTGCAATTGAGTTTCAAGTGACTCTGGGACATTTAATAAGAGTACAATTTACAAGTCAATAACTGGAAAGATGGGTGTGAATCTCCTAAGCAGTGTCTGGAATGGAGAAAATCTGCAAAGTAATTAACTTAAAGGAGGAAAATACAACCATGGGTGTGAATGACATGACCCACAGGGACAATTACAGGAAACACATGGAAGTGAAGAAAGCATGAGACTGGGTCTTGCAGAAATTCGATACATTGTAAAGCTTATAAAGGGTAAATCTTCCAAGGAGTAAGAAGAGAGGTTGAACAATAGGAGAAAAGGCAACAAAGCATCTTATTATATATGTAACAGAAAGGAAATGCTCTGTGGCCTCTGAAGGTTTTACCAGCGCCTGGGCTCAGCCCCCAGGCAGGTCTTCCTCCTCTCAAGGTGATCTCCCTCCTCCTTGTGGCGAGAGGTGCCATCCACAAGATGCTGAAGTCCTAGCTCATGTTTCTGTCCTGCACCTTCCTCTCAGCCCCAGGATTGGTCACCATTGTGACCAACTGGCTCTGGATGCCTTTGGACCTTCTGTGGAGCCTTGTGCGCTTTGGAAGTCTGCCTGCGGGGCTGAAAGAGGGAGCATTATCCCCCAGCCTCTGTCCTCCATCCCTGAAGGGTAGCCCAAGCCAATGAGTGCCAGCAAGCGCACTTCCAGCTTGCATACTTTTGAGCACAGAGAGGCTCCATGGCTGTGTCCAGGGCCAGGGGTGAGCCCTCTCCAGCTGCACCCACCTGAGGTTGGGTGAAGCCTGCATGTAATCACCCACCTTGGCGGTGGCTCGAGTAGAAGCGCTGGGGAAGGTGGTCCACGCGGAGAGGCCGGGAGAGAATGAGAAGAACAGATGGTCCAGGAGTTTGGATACAGATAGTAAGGCAGTGTCTTGAGGACAATAAGAGTTGAAGGAGGGATATTTTAAGTTTATAATAGCAATTGTGTGTGTGTTCCTCTCATGTCTTCAGACTAATTGCAATGTGACATCATTTCCCAGTTGTTTGACATAAACATTTGACATCTATTTATTTGTCAGCTACTCAGAGAAAGAAGGTTTTTTTAACCTCCTGTCTACCCCCACCCCTCGCACGAGACCATCCTCATCTGTTTGGTGCACCGGTCGACGACACACGTGGTTTGGGGGCGTTCTGACCCATCAGAGCAGCAAGCAGGCAGAGCCCGGGGCGTCAGCAAGACAGCATTCCCAGCACTTATGACCTCACGGCAGCCAGGCCTTCCCAGTTGAGTTCTGTTGGCGAGAAACACGTCCCTGGGCTCAGCCCACCCGTGAGGCGAGGGGACTCGACAAGGAGTGCATGTGGGGAGTGGGGGGTCGTCGGGAGCCCTTCAGACGCTGCCTGGCATACCGTGTGTAAGGAAGTATGCTTCCTCACATCTGTAGGGCCCTTGAAGATCCTGCAGTCTGCTGCTAAAAAACA